AGTACAAGTAAAATACAAAAAATGAGGACAAGGGATTATAGTTAAATAAAATTACAAAAAATAGTGATATTTTGTATTGAAATTATATATTTCACACTAAAACAAAACAAATATGATAAACCGTCCCCATTTTGTTGTAACTCATCTCTCATTGCCTTATGCCAACAAATTATGCCTAGTTGAATGGACAAGATTGGTTATTTTTCTTAAAATGGTCTAAGCCCCATTCATGACACTCCAATTCTCAATGTAAATAGTGCCAAGAGTTTTAAACCCAAAATACCTTATTACTTATCTTTAGTCTTTCTTCCTTTTTCATATAAATCCTCACCTTAATTAATAAGGGAAAAATAATGAAAAAGAGAGGAAAGTTCTAAAAAAAATGGCATATGATCATGTGCACCTTCTAAAGAAGGATCCCCTAATTGATTTCAACTAACTGCACACAAATAAGCAAAACTAATAGTCAATTTATGAAGAGCACAATAAGATTAGAAAATTTATGGACTTGTACCAAAAAAAATTACATGCAAGTTTCTTTCCATATTATTGCCCAAGTTATAATTTTAGCATTCATTATCAATATATGCTCACATTTGTTAAAGACTATTGCTTTTGAGAATCAAGGTACACACCCAACTAGGCTTTCATAAAGATTATTCTCAAGAATCAACTACCTCAAAGGGTTATCCACAAAGTATATAATCATGTCATAAATGGTATCTAAATTATACAATTGTAATTTCATAAATCAGAAAACATAAAAATGAATCTTTATGGTCCAAAAATATTCCCACAAATATTTCAAAGGTACCCTTTCATTTAAATAATAATAATAATAACTTCAACATTTCATCATCGTACATCAAAAGTGGCATTTTTGTCATTTGTCGTCAAAAGGAAGACTCCCCTAACACTCATGAGAGGAGGTGATGAATAAAAACATAAAATATGAGAAAAACAATCACAAATGCACACAAATGTTACTTGATTTGAGTATCCTACAATTAAGGTCACGTTAAGTCTACTTTGTTTAATAAAAGCTAAAGGTATAAGATATGAGATGCGAATTAAATGTTTGGAGGCAAAAACAATGCCTTCCATTGAGAAAGTAGTATCAATCCCTAGAAAGAGGATCAATATTAGCTTGTAAGAAGAGTCCAATGTTTAATAGGCCTACTAATGTGACTTAGTTCTTTTATAGTAAATCACGTAAATTTAAAATTTATAAAACTAAAAAATACTAATTTTATATATTTAGAAGTATTTATGAAAAAATAAATAAATTATAATTCAATAAATTTTGTCAAAAATAATGTTAATTTTCTAAGTCGATCATAGGGATGTAAAATAATATCTAGAAATATTCAGAATTTTCCACAAAGAATATGATCTTTTTATGAATTATAGACAGAAAAAAAATAAAATGTATGTTAAAATCTACAAAAAAGGAAAATAAGGGGTGCAGATGTCAAGATGATGGCAGCGCCTGACAAATGCGAATCAGGTGAAAATAGAGTTTTGCTTGATGATTCATATGTAAGCACTTACATATGATTTAATTGGTCAAATTAAGATCTGTAAAAGTCAGAAGAATCATAATTGAATGAAGAATACTTTAGTAAATTTAAATCACATAAATTATCACTAAATGAAGTGAATATTAAGTTAGAAGTAGGAAAGGCAGAGTTTCAGCCTCACGATAGTGATTGTTAGAATTCTATGTGTTTAAGAAGGTCATCGAATGATGTTTACGGCCGCAAAAACTCTCCTTAGAGTTGGATGACTTAGGCATTCGTTGGATCTCCTTTTGAAGTCTAAAAAATGATGGCAAAAGTTAAACTAATTAAAATATGATAAAATAGAGTTCTGATGTCACACAATAATACATTGACAATACACTAAAATCGTAAGCATTTAGGAGGATTGTCATGTAGTGTATATGGCTTGAAGGCTCTCATTAGACAAGAACGATATGGACAATCTTTAAATCTTCTTGCAAAGACTAGAAATTAATAAAATGAATAGTCGAATCGTCTCTAGCAACTGTCACCCAATGGAGCAGAAAGATGACGACATTACAACTCTCCGACGACTGTCACCTAACAAAGAAGAGCTAGATGGAAGTGAGGTGCGTGTTAGGAAGCTTCATTCTTAGGTCCACATAGTGAGAGGAGGCTCTTCATCACATTTGGTACACTCCCAAGAGGTGACGACTCATCTCTTGACGAATCATTTGTCTTCTTGATGATGGCTTATTAGTCGATCAATTAGAGATAATTTACTCGATAGATTTGTGATATTTTATCGAGAATTGTTCAATAATTTTATCAACAATGCTCTACGAATCACGTTGATGAGATTTTTGCTGATGATCAAATAATTATGACGACTTAATCTTTTATTGACGATCTACAAAAAAGTCGTGATTTAATCAAATAAAAATATGAGTTTTGACTCTAGTAAGATTTTAACCTACGTCGATTGCATGCTTGCATGA